CAAAGTCTGTCTGCTATCTTAATACTTAACATATACACATATGTTTATTGGCCTCTATCCCTTTCATTATAAATGACTATATTTACATATATACATGCCTATAGCTATACCTCTATAAATAGCTTTTGCCTCCTATTTCTTTGCTCTATTTCCTTTCACCTTTCTCCTATCCCACTATCATGCTCGCCTTCCATTCAGCTCTCAGTATTTCTGCTCAGTTACACTGCACTTGATTAAACCCCGCCGGGCATTATACACCTTCCTCACCATCAATTTTAGATCTCTGCTGTTCCCTTAGCTCTGAGTTTATTGGCTCCCACCTCCCGCTCCCTGCCCTCCCATGTCTCCTCGGAACTGCCGGTTCTGTTGTTTTCTCCTCAGGATTGTTCGTCCTGCCTATCTTATATAGATAGACATACGGCGGCACAAAAACAAAAACAAACAAATAAAACATGGAAACAAAACAAAAACAATAGATAGTTCCAGGTCTGTCTGCTGACCCTTACGTGTGTTTTATGATCAAGTCTGATGAGTTGACCCATATTTTTGAGGCACAAATTCAATGCCTAACACATGCTCAAAATATCCCCTCTCTGCTAAATTCATACAAATCTGAGGGGCAGCTGTGGACTATAAAGCATAAGCAGAAAGTGGAGGCCTTGCAGAAAGGGTCTAGTTGTTGGTCCATTTTCCACAAGCCTTTGAAGAGAGAAACATGCAAAAACAGAACTGGACTCAAGCGGATTGATTTTGACACTTAGAAATATCTCAGCAGATAAAGGTGATGACTGAACAACATGGAGAAGGCCATCTATGCCACTTAACTGTACGTGTGGAGATTGTTGAAATGGCAACTATTTGTTACTTATATTTATTATAATTTTTAAAATCTGTTCATTCAACTTTAAACTGGCTTTAAAAGAATCTTTGTTTTCATCCAGCCAGTCAGACTGGAAGTCCAACTTTGAACTCGACTGCCAAGTCATCTAGAACTGCAACAGTGAAAAATACTTCAGGAAAGAAAAAGGGGAAAAAAGGTATTTTTGTTGTTGTTTTAACTATTCCTTCTATTTCCTACCTATTCTGAATTACTTCTTCCTTTCATGGACCATTTCCACTACTTCAAAAAACCAGACTGTAACTGTTTACAGGAGTAGAAAGCCCAGTCTTTCTCCCTCAGAGCTGCTGGTGGTTTTGAACTGCTGACCATGAGGATTGCAACCCAAAGTGTAACCACTACACCACTGGAGCTCCCTAAGTACATCCATTTCTCACGTAAAGATAACAGATTCCAATGGTCATTATAAATACAAAAATTGATGTTATGTGGAAATACAGATCACAAAAAGGAGGATGATTACATCATTACTCAACAACTCACTGCTATCCAGTTAATGCTGACTCCTAGTGATCCTATTAGGATTTCTGAGGCTGTAACTCTTTACAGGAGCAGAAAGTCTCCTCTTTCTTGCTCTATTAGGCTGGTAGTTTCAAACTGTTGATGTTGTGGTTAGCAGCCTAACATATAATCCACTATACCACCAGGGCTCCTTTACATGACTACCAAATGACATCAGTACATGACTACTAAACCACTGAGGTCCATGGCCCTGTCAAGTTGACACATAGCCATAACCAAGCATTACTCTCACCTCACACCTTGGCATTTGCTACTGATAGGCATACATCATTGGTTCACAAAAGGGCTGAATGGATTTTTTTAACTGATGCTGTGAATGTGAAATGTTGGATAAGGAGACAGTTGATAAGTGAGGGGTAGGTCTAATGAGTCCAACTAGAGGAACAGTCAACGGGACTTTACAAAGACTTGTACAGTCTATAAATCAGACAACAAACCTTGAAGGAATCTGTCTTTGGTATATTCAAGCAGGCCGAACGAGGGCTGTACTGCCCAGTGTGCCTGCGATGACCCCTATAGTGAACAACCTGCAGACTCAGACAAGTTTAGCCTGGAGACCGCCTGCCTATGATCAGTTTTTAGAACCAGAATCTTAGTGGTTTGGGAGGAATTTTGAGAAATTACAAAGTCCACCCTCCTGCCACCAAACAGGGTTAAACTAATGAGAAGCTGCTCAAGCATTAAAGTTTTGCCGTCAAGTGTTAGGGGCAAGATTCTAGTCCTTCGACTTCCATTAACAGCTGGGTCTCAGTATCCTCGTCTACAAAATGAGGAATTTGTGCTCATCGATTGATTCCTAAATTCTACTCCACCTACAGTGTTTTGGAATTCTCAAGAAACAGCACAAGGTGCCCAGAGCCCGCCCTCTGCACCACCGCCAACGACCCAGTTTGGGAGGGGGCAGGAGCTACAGAAGCTGGGGGGGGAGGGCATCGCTGAGATTCCTGATGTGGGCATCGACCCAGATGGCGTCTTCAAATACGTGTTGATTCGAGTCCACACGGTGCCACCCAAGCCACGGAGAGCAAGTGGGCCGAGTACCATGCCGACATCTACGACAAGGTGTCGGGGGAGCTACAGAGACGGGGCTTCGACTGTGAGTGGCTGGGCGGCGGGCGCATCTGCCACCAGAGCCAGGACAAGACGATCCACGCGTGCGGCTACTGCATGGGCTACGGGCGCGCCCAGCACTCCATCTCCACAGAGAAAATCAAGTCCAAGTACCCCGACTGTGAGGTCACCTGGGCAGACGACGGCTACTGAAGGCGGGGCCCCACCGCCCCCACCCCCAGACCAGGCCAACCTCACCCCCAGGGTCACCGCCGAATTAAAGTGTTGTCTCTCAAAAAATCCAGAAAAAACAACCCAGCACCAGGTTATCACTGGCTTTGTCATAAACACAGCCTTTGGGGAACTCCTAATGGAGGCCAACCTAAACGTATATTGTCTGTTTAAGGGCATTTCTTTCTTTCCTTTTCTTTTTCTGGTAAAGTTACTTTGTGGAGACAAGTCCTTATAATGAAGCTCTTTGTCCTTTGGATTTCTTTTCAATTTTATTCTGTTCTTGCGGTTTCTTTTGCCTTGAGATTTTCCTTGTATCTCCTTTATGAAACCTCAAAGAGTAAGGAAAGTACCCAATCTCGTGCTCTGAAAAATCAATTGGAAATCTACAGTGAGAAAATTTATCAGGCCCTGTCTCTGTTGTTTTGATGTGAATATGGTCTTCAGACTGGACACTGCGGTAGATTTTGAAATATCTGCTAAAAATGGAAAGCACGCGCTCTGACGTCACTTTAGTCGGTCACCATTTGAGAACTTGTTCAACTGAAAGTCCTCTCAGATGAGTTGTTTGGGTTGCTGTGGGGTCGGGGG